TCGCCTACAAACCATTCGAAGTGAGCACATCGTTTTAACTTTCTCGAACTGTGAACTATAGTCATCACTGTCATTAAAAAAGCAACAAAACCCGAATATTCGAGTCAAAATCTCGGAAGAAAGATCAGAAAGCGAACGACCTTGTGTGCCGACGGACAACATCGGCGATCGAGTGAGCAGTTGAAGCCAATTTCCCACGTAATTTTGCGGCTAAACTTGCCTGCTTGACTCTTTTGGATACTCTTAGCATGATTGTGTAGGAATACGTCCAGAAAATGTGATATTGGTACAATAAATCGCACGATAAGCACATGGAAGGCTAACCCGGAAACAACTCAAGCGCTAAAAACGATTTTTGCGCAGAACGATGCCAGAATTTCAGTTCTGCGCATAGCAATATGCGTTGGTACAGAACGTGTTGAATTCTGGGTAAAACCTCGTACCGTGAACTGTAGCAAGCTTGCAATCATCACAGCACCACAGCGATAACGCGTATAGGTAAGTTTATATTCAATTCATCTTTTCATTTCAGTTCAAAACCAAGGATCACATGCCTGTTGTGTAGGAGAGATGACACTTCTACGTAATAACAGGGTTCCGTGTCTCCACTCTTTTCACAAATATAAAACCAATAACGGCATTGTGGTAAATTTCCAGAAAACAATGTGTGAAACCTACGCGATACTATTCTAGCGACGTGGCAACACGTACTTCACATCGCTCCGTGTCATTGAATGTTGCTAGTGATTTTTGTTCTCGCTGTGCTATCACAGAATCTCGGCTTTCAAGCCAGGTATTTGTAAATATTGTACAGACTTTTTACCGTGTTTTTATTGTATTCTTTTACCGGGTTATTTTGCCGTTTTGGGAGGTGTTTTGATTTCTAGTTCTGGCAAGGTGAACGGCAACCAAGATGACGGCGTCTGCTCAAATAAACACATTGACCACACCTAAGTTTAAACTGTCAGGAAACTATGCCGTTCGCTGTACAGGCGTACGTTGAGGCGCTTGCCGATTTAATAGAAATAATTATTGCAGCTTCTCGTATGAACAGGGCGGTGGTTATTTTTCTTGGTGACGTGTCATTGGTTGCATTTGTGTGTGCAGTGGGCATTGATATTGCTGATCAACTGTGGAACCTTTGGTATGACCATATACCAAGGTAATTTTATCAAACGTCCCCCCGTTTATGCCAAATGACTGTATTGTTACGGTCGTAAAATGTGGAGAAAATATACTAATATGAAAATGTGAGAAATGCTACATTGCCAACAATGTATGGGGTGAGAATACCGCCAAAATTATCTTGGTGTCATTATTTGAACATTGTTTAGTTGTTTGGTCTTTATTTGGAAACTTGTTTGATTATTATTTGGTCATTATTCGGTTATTTGGTCTTTATCTAAACATTATTGTGTGCTTATTTTATTAGTGTGTTATTACTGCAGCATCGTATTGCCATTGTTTCATTATTCCAACTTTATTCCTTAATTATTTCATTGTGTATTTATTACAATATTATTTTGTCATTGTTTCATTCTATTACAATTGTGTCGCTATTTAGACATTATCTTGATATTCAATTGTCATAAGATTCGGTTATTTTCACGTCCAAATGTCTTGACATTCGGTTCGCTTGACTTGCGATTACCTCAACATTCGATTACCTGACCTACATTAGCTGACCCCGCTATACATGTAATATTCAATCCATAGTCCCGGGCCGCCTCCGACAAAGCGTTGCTCATGACGGCAATGTAGCCTTCGTAAAAGTTAGCGGGAATTTCTGAATGATGGCCGTTTCATCAATATCCAGGGAACTGACTGAGGTCGTCAGAGCCTGTCGTGACGAAATATCAAATGCCGCAAAACTTGTTGTTGACTTTATCATTATATGATGACCAGAATGTGCTAAGAACCGTTCACAAGACTCGTTATCCTGTCGTGAACTCACAAAATTTGAAAGAGCAACTAATATTCTTCAAGCTGGTATTTTTATAGATTTTATTTTTCATTCTTTTTCGCCTATTTTTCAGTTTAAAAATGTGAGCTGGCTGGAGCCTTTTTTGTAGGGGGCGGGAAATATCAGTACCCCCCCCC